ATTGAATAACTATGGCTCTTTCATGTAAAAATTATACCAAATATGAGGAAATTGAGATCATTTTTGAGAGTTTATCTCTACAATTACTCTTCTATGTCTCCTAAAACGGATGTACAGTCTGTATGTTCAAAAGAGCGGCCTGATAAATCTTCTGCGTAATGATATGTGTCAATTTAACCATGTCTTAAATTGAATTAGTAGCTGGAAATGAGAGCTGCTCTGCAAACATGAAGATATGGAGCTACATCAATACTGTTATACGATGTAACCCATTGGGAAATCGTTAATCATGCCTATTTTGTATTTTTTCTCTCTAAAATTTGAATGAACTGCCTGATTTTCTTGCATTCCCATATAATTTAGAGTGTTATCTACATGCCTGTTTACTTTATTCCTTGCTGATTTCACTCTTTTCCCCTGAATTTTGCATTTTAAAACATGACTACCATGGCATTTTGGAGATATTATGATTCACATTCTTTGAAATTCCGTCTGCTGCATCAAGATTATTCCATTCTTTTTCTCACTAAATAATTACTGATTTCTCATATTTGTGATGGACAGTTGAGCTCAAAAAGATCTTTCTTAACATTTTAGTACTATTTACTGCAAACTAATATATACAACAATATTTACAGTGATTTTTTTTCATAATATCTGGCTTCACATCTCGCAACTCTGTTCCTTGTAAAAGTCACCTAATTCTGTAGTTCTGCTCTAATTCACAATAACTATAATTCTTGTAACAGATGCAGGATGTTGAAATGAAAGAATGCAAAATATTTTTCAAATTGTTTCTGGTTGAAGGATCTTGCTCAATTAAGGCTTTATCCCAATCATTAAAATATACTCTGGGTTCACATTGTTTATGGGGGCTAACTTTTCTTGATTTTGCACTCATCGCATGCTGTGTTTTATAATATGAGGGTAGAAGACATTCCTGTGATTAACAATGATCTCAAAATCTCATTAATTTGTCTCTGGATTGAATCCCCTTCCCCATCTATCCTACCTTGTGGGGGTAAGGTAAGTGCGAGGGAGGGGGGGGAGATGGGCTTGAAACAAGATAAACGTCCATTGTCAGGTAGTCTACAACCTGTCACATAACGATGACATAACGGTATGAAATAACAAAGCTGTGACATAACACTGCTGTAACATAATGATGCTGTGATATTACAATGCTGTGACATAACAATGCTGACATAACAAAGCCAATTTCATCTAGTAGCTCATTTTTCAACATATATTGATACTCTTACGACACACTCTGGTTATACAAGAGCTGGTGATATAATGACAATAATATATAATAACACGCAATGATGATGTAGCAATTACGAGATATTATTAATAAACTGTCTATCACCATGTCATGTCAATTACTTTCAATTTCTTCAACTTAAGTATAAAACTGAAGAGCAAATTATATTTAAAAACAAGGCATTAACATGCAAAATGTCACCACCATTTGTTACAGACGCCAACCACCAATCGCCGATCACCAACTGCCGTCACAAAAAACAGAGGCCATAACAATATGCCACCACTTTTTAGTGGTGACATAATGACCGTTAATAATCAATAATACAATAAGTTGTATATCTAATATTTTATTTATACATATTAGAGTAGGAGTTATATGAACTCATAAAATGAATCTCATAAACCTTGATTTTACCCTTTGCAATTGTCTGACTTCACTTCTTAAAAGAGAGCTTCATCTCTAGTTTAACTAGACTGTGCATCAGGGTACCTTGATTTTGACTATTATTAATCATTATTTAAAATGTAAAAGCTTACTGTATTTTCTAATTTTTATATATTTAAGGAAAATTATCAAGCCATACTCACGGGGCATATTTAATATGCAAACTTAAAGCAAAACTGAAGATGTAACCATGTGTGGAATAGGCAATGAATGAATACCAGAAAATAACATGTGACTCTCATTATTTTCCATGATGCAGAAATATCTTAAGAATGTTTGATTTCGTTCAAATGGCATTCATTTCATAGTATTGAGTAGGAGTGTATTTCATAACATAACATAGGTCTAATTGTTGATTGGTTGAAATAAACACGCCTAAGTGCCTTGGTATGATGGGTACCCCTCACCCCCTTTTGTTACACAACATAAAATATCCAGATCAAAGCTGGATAGGGCCGTTATCAATATTCTGTTCAATTATCCGGAATATTTCAAGATGTTCCGAATTCTGTTCCCATAAACAAAATTTGGCATACATCTCTTGAATTCCTCCGAACATTAAAGATAAAGTAAGATATAAAATGGAAAGAACATGAAGCGAAGATACTGATGGCATGAAAATCGAAGAATTTCAAATCATGATGAATTATATCACAAGATCGAGGGATCAAATTTTTAATCAAGGTCGCAAAATGTTTCATCGAGCTTGTATTTATATCTTACACACGGATGATTCCAGAGCATTCAAAATTGCCATGGATGGTATATGCTTGGCATACTAATGAGCACTTCGTCAAATGAGAGCCTTGTAACTTCAGACAATGTTTCTAGAAAAAAATCTATCCAGGCAGAATTCCCTCTGGACATAGCTCTTTTCTGTTTCTCTATTAAAATTTAAGTGCTTGAGTTTTTGAATTTTTATGATAAATATTTATATAATTGAGTATGATTATGGCATGATAGGCATGCGCCTCACCAACATTTTCAGAAATCATCTATTTAGACAATTTTAACTTCAATTGGGAACTTTTATTGATATATAATTCTATCATATTCATGGGGAGAGGGGGGGGGGTATTTGACATTGTCTGCCTTGGCATATCCTAAATCTATATAAATCTAGCTTTTCATCCCAAGAAAAATTCTCTGGAAATTTTGTGTGGAAATGTGCAGACAAGAACGGGAAATGCCACTTCTCGTCTAGCTGTCATCTTCAGCGTTCCTACTGATGGTGACAATATCTCATTTTTTAGTCACAAAAAATCAGAAAGATGCAACTTAGTATCCTCACCCTAATTTAACCCTTTCTTCTCACATTAAAGAGCTGGGACCAAAAACCAGGCAAATAACTTTTATTCATGGGACCAATTGTTCTTCTGTTAGATAAACATCAATACTGAATTGCTTGCATAAAACATTTGATTCTAACTCCCGACAGATTCACGACCCTCGATGCTTTCTATCGTTTTTCACTACTCTTTGAAAAACCCGAGGCAAACAAATAATGTTTATCGGAAAATGAAAAAATACAAAAAGAAATCCTCAATATAGTGAAAGAGTTAAATGATTCAAACAGGCATGCAGTCATGTATATTCCGAATTATATAGAAATATAAAAATTCAAACATTTTTATTCCTTGTAGAGAATTTCACCTCTCTAAAGGAAACCTGCTTTAATACTCAGATGATTTCAAGTTCATCTAACAGTATTTCCTCTTTTCAACTGGAAATCTGCAATGGGTCTATCGACAAGATCATCTTGTTGTATAATAGATATTTCCCAATAGCGCAATAAACAACACGTTTATCTATGTACACATTCGATGAGCTCCCTACTTAACAGTATTTTTATAGCCTATCAGGACCATTCCAGATGGTTGGAACAAGGAATTATCGTCAAGTGAATGGATCATGGTCAGACGCAACTGTATCTACTTTATTTATGGATCGTATTCTGCCGCTTAACTGGAGATAAAGCTCTTTATTTAAGATGCAAAATCTTTTGAAGACTCTTTTAAAAAGGGTGACGCCATCTTTGTCTTCTTTGTATTATGCTCATTTACTTAACCAGTTGAAGAAAATACAACAATGGAGGGGGTGAAATAAACTGATTTAGAAAATAACATTTTATTCTATTATATCTCCTAGTAACATATATTTATCTACCTCGGGTTCTCTAAAAGGATAACTTCTCTATATGGGCAGTTTGAAAAGAAGTAAAACCCATAACATTGACTTACATATTAATAAAAACACTCTCTATACGTATAAGGAATGCTTGTCTACAAGGGACAATTATCACTGGCGGATCTGGGGGGCCAAGAAAAAAATTTGGCCCAAAGTTGTTTTCTCTGACATGAAATTTGCCCCCTCCCCCTTATTGGTTCCCAGATCCGCCCCTGATTATGGCCAGAACAGAAGGCATTCCATTAAAGGTTTTGCTGAATATGGAAGTTACTGAATGCAACTATTTGATGATAGGACATTAACCGAATCATTAGGAATTTATCTCATTCAGTGTATTGATTTTCTAATGGGTTCAGTTCATGACAATTCTCCTTTAATTTGGAATTATATGAAAGAACTTACAATGCTTTGATCAAAATGAATTTATGTTGTATGAAACATGAAAAACAGACACATGTGTGTAAAATAAAAAATGTAGTATTGGACATATTGGAGATGATTTAGTTCACTATCTTCATTCACAAATTAAATTTATGATTCAATTAAAAATAATTATTATCATTTATACTATTAAAATGAATTATGATCCATTAACAAATTAAAATTAATTATGGTTCACATATTGAAAAAATACACATATTAATTTAGGGCATAGAAAATTAATGAATATTTAAGCATGGATGAGTTTCATTTGAAGAAATACCATTTTTGGATGGTCCATCGTGGTTCAAAAGTGGGCACACTTGAATAAATAGCCTGCTTTATTGAATGTGTTATTCAACTGCTATGTAACCATGGTCACCAGTACACAGCAAAATGTGATATGCAACAAACAATCTCATTAAAAATCTAATTCAGGCAATAAAAATTTTATGAATAAAACTTGACTTTGGGACAACATGATTCAGGTAGTAGAAGGGATAGTGGCCAAATATTGGCAGTTTTGGAAAAGTGAAGTTAATTTTTTCATTATGTTCCTTTAAAATATTAATTCACCCCCTTTGCTAAAAAAATTAACTTCATCATTCTTTTATGTTGAAAATTGGTTACAATTTCTGACTTAAAACATAAAACAAGAACTAAGATAAGTTAATCGACTAACCTGCAAAGAAAATGAAAGGTCTAGTTCTGTGTCAAGGTGATCTGACCCACTGGGAATAATAATTTCGTTCGATCGCAGAACTCTCTTTGAACTCTGAAAATATATGAAAAATGAGCAATTTAAAAAATACAATTTAAAAGAAATCTGAAAGCATGATTTTATACTGTTTTCCTAAATCTATATATGAAATCACAAAGAAGTACAAAATGTTGTATTTCCAAAAATTACTACAGTCTTCATTGAATATAGAATTTATTCACTGGAGATAACATTCTAAATAAGGGATATAAGAACACACACTCCCCTTCAAAAGATTGGCAACCCTAACTTCTGACTCAGACAGCTTAAAACCTATTTACATTTGAAATATTTTCCTCAATTAAAAAAAAAAAAATTGACTAATGATATATCCTGGTCCCAAAACATAAACAGGCTCTCAAAGAAGGAAGGTGGTCCAACAGAGTTGCCAACATTTTTTAGGGGAGTGTACAAGTATACTACATTAGTTGCAATTACAGGTAACCGACACATAAATAACTATTTGCCTAGAAAAAATATAGTAATCACATTTGTGAATAGAAAATAACGTAGCATGAAACAGGAAGCTACAACAGATAATGTTAAAAATATATATTTGGTCAATTATTGTTATTATGACATCTTTATCGAACAACTCTAGTAAGCTCTTCTCTCCAATGTACACCTTTATACCATGAACATTTTTTCAGCAAAAACTGTTTTTGTCTTTCACATACTGTGAACAGAAAACCTGGCAAATTCATAGATTCACTGTTAGTTGGTAAAAACAACGAACCAAAAATTAACTAATAATTTCTGTAATTTTCTGTGAGCTTCTCAAACATTCACAGTTTGAGAGAAGTTGTTTACAATCCAGTATAATTTAAATATTGCAAAACATTTGGACATCTAGAAATAAATTGGGACGAGAAAGTGTTCATCATCAAGATTTCATTTATGAAAAGTTCACATTCACATGATTTTTAGTTGAAATGCAACCAAAGCAAAATGGGCTATGATTTACGAGAAAAATGCAGCGAGGTTACCATGACCAAAGCCATATTTTATGATAAATATTTGAAACATCCTTACAAGTCGTTGCAATTTCCCATTGCATGCTACGTTCTACCTAAAGATTCATTAACGATAACAATGTTTAGAGCGAAGAAGTATTGTTAAAAAGCTGATAGTCATGAGTCACGAGACAATCTGCTTGGGAAAGACAAGCATTCTTAAATTGTCAATAGTCATGGTCCAATTCTCTCTTCCATACGGTACACAATCTGGTTGGGAAAGAAATAAAGTCTGGAAAGAAGGGGGATGGGGGAGGGGGGGGGGGGTGGGTGCTGATCAGAGACTTACGTTCCTCTGTCCCCTATCCTTCTAGATTTCATACAAGACTGCTTTAATATACACTATAGTTGATTTAATTATCATTTTCTTTATGCAGTTATCCTTCCCGGCATTGAAGGTAGCAATCAGGTGTTGCACCCACTTGAGAATTTAAAAACTGCTTTGCACCCAGTTGGCAATGCAACTGCACCTAGTTGGCAATGCATCTGCACCCAGTTGACAATGCATCTGCACCCAGTTGGCAATGCAACTGCACCTAGTTGGCAATGCATCTGCACTTAGTTGGCAATGCATCTGCACCCAGTTGACAATGCATCTGCACCTAGTTGGCAATGCAACTGCACCTAGTTGGCAATGCATCTGCACCTATTTGGCAATGCATCTGCACCCAGCTGACAATGCATCTGCACCCAGTTGGCAATGCATCTGCACTTAGTTGGCAATGCAACTGCACCCAGTTGGCAATGCATCTGCACCCAGTAAGCAATGTATCTGCACCCAGTTGGCAATGTATCTGCACCTAGTTGGCAATGCAACTGCACCTAGTTGGCAATGCATCTGCACCTATTTGGCAATGCATCTGCACCCAGCTGACAATGCATCTGCACCCAGTTGGCAATGCATCTGCACTTAGTTGGCAATGCATCTGCACCCAGTTGGCAATGGATCTGCACCCAGTAAGCAATGTATCTGCACCCAGTTGGCAATGTATCTGCACCTAGTTGGCAATGCATCTGCACCTAGTTGGCAATGCATCTGCACCTAGTTGGCAAAGCATCTGCACCCAGTTGGCAATGCATCTGCATCCAGTTGGCAATGCATCTGCACCTAGTTGGCAATGCATCTGCACCCAGTTGGCAATGCATCTGCACCCAGTCGACATGAAATAAGATAGGGTGAAATGATTTTTGCCAGATAAACAATGCAATTTCAAAGCCAGAATTGGTAAAAATCTGAACCCAGCTGTGAAAACATCTTAAGGCAAAATAATTGCAAATTTACTGAGAAGACACTGTCAGTCAAAGGGGCATCTTAGAGGAGACAATTTTGATACACACATCCTAATATTCAGGATGCTAAGATATTAGGAGGTGTGAATCATGCTAACATATTGTTGATATATATATATGTAAATGTATACAAACTGTCAGATTCTGACTCTAATGTTAAAGGTGTTAATCAATTCTCTTGGAGAATTAATATTCATGTGTACTTTAAGATAGTAGAAAATTCATTAATTCTTCATCTCCAGCATCATGATCAACCATGACATCTCAAATCTTCTCAGCCCTGAGATGTTCGGGTGAAACAGAAAGATGCTATGAGTATCAGAAAGATCTCCAGGTGATTATCCCAAAGTTAGAAAAATCTATACCCCGAATTATTGAAATAAACTGGAATTATTGTCATGTACATTTACATATGCAATGCATCCAATCAGAAAAAATAATAATCCGGGAGAAAAAACGTCCTTTATTTGGACAGTTTTGATAAAAATATATATACATATATTCTCCTCTACTTGGCCAATTTCTGGGTAATCTAGCATCCCCTTAAGTGTGTTTACCATTCTAATTAGGCCAATACTCATCGCTACAAACTGTATCGCTACAAACACTGACTTGTGCAGGAAGTGGTTTTTCATGATATGCAATTACTGTTCGGATTAAAGCTTAGCTAACACAATCTTCAGGTGTTACAGATTGTGATTACATATACAGTAAAACCTGTCTTATCTGACTGTATTGGAACTGGCTACTAGCGTTTTAAATAGGTGTTCAGATTTCAAGGCTTTTTAACATGGGAATAAATTGGAGGAAAAAATGGGACCAGAGAAAAGTGTTCGGATTGGAAGGTGTTCAGATTAGCCAGGTGTTTGGATATGCAGGTTTCACTGTACTGGACATATCCTGTTTTGATGTTTTGATGCAGTTCCAAGGTCAAGTGATACTGAATTCTTGTTTACTTTCTGATATACCTGCTTACCTAAAACTTGCACTAAGATCCTGTATCCCTGCAGCCTCCTTGGAGATGCATGTTTTCCTCTGGATAAACTCTGTATCCTAAACCTCCCAGTGTGTAACCCATATCTAGTAGGTCTTGAAACAAGGCTTTTCTGTCTACTGATAACAGTAATTCTTTCAGTTCATTAAACTCATGATTAACTTTTTAGATCATAAAAAAAGAGAGGCAGAATTCCCCTTAATTCATCATGGGATATATTAGTTACTTATGTAGTCAGTTTGCAGAGTACCAGGGATATGGTTATTTCCTTCATGATAAATCCAGTATCAATAACCTCCTATCACATAACATTTATGAATCTTACCTGCATTTTGACGGCAATTATAACTGCACTTGGCTCATTTTCCAGAGGTTTTAGCACCACGAGGCGTGTGAGGGTCAGTGAACACAATCTGCAAGTATAAAATATGATCATTTAATAAAGAGCATGAAAATACTGGATATAATCATCAAATGGGTGTTATGAAAATACTGGATACAATCATCAAACGGGTGTTATGAAAATACTGGATATCAATGAGCATGTAGAGTAAAAATATTAGATACAATCATTGAATGGGAAGTATGAAAATATTGGATATCACTACAAAAATAGTAGATATCACTGAACACGAGGAATGAAAATATTGGATACAATCATTGAATGGGTGGTATGAAAATAATAAATACATGTATAGCAATTAAACAAGTGGGGTCATAATATGCAAATTAATTGAAAAGCAGACTAGGGAATTTTGGATTGAGTCAATATATAAAAAATCACCAAAAATAAAGCAAGTGCTATTTCAACATGACTTAAAGTACTTTCAATGGGACTAATTTAATGCATTCATCTATCTGCAAAACAAGTCATCAAGTTATTTAGGGTCACAGTGACCTGACATGACACCAGACTGGAATGACACTAGAGACCAGACTGAAATGGCATTACAGAATATGTCAATATTTACACAAAAAGCAAATAAATCTAATGTCTAAATAAATGTTTAGTCAATGAATGACAAATTAATAATTTAATAACTAAAGTGCAGGTCTATTTGTGTCATTCTTTGATTCAATTCATGATTCACACTATTTGTAGTTTTCCAGGTATATTTGGTGTGTTCTAATAGCTGCAGTATTTCAAGAATATTCTATATTGAAATGGTTACCTAATATATATATATATATGTATACTTCTTTTAGGTGCATGTAAAATTTTTAGGGTGTTAAAGGTAGACTCAGAAATTGATAGAGGCTCAAGAATGACTTTTTGAATACATGTATAGGCCATTTTTTCAAATTTGGTGCCTATTTTCCCAACAGGCTTCTTTCTCAAAGATGAGCCCCAAAAATGCCAATGTTACATCATGCACTTATTCAAATTCAAAATTCACAATATAAAAAACCTGCATTCAAATATCCTAGTTTTATTAGTAATTCTGTGCATATATGAACTCTGGTTGGTATTTCACTTAAATATTTCCTCATTTTTGTGTTGTTTATGAAAGAAAATATCGCAAAAGTGAAATCATCATCATGGTGTTTTAAGGTACATCTATATAAGACCATAATCGATAGACAGCTTTTAACAAGGCTATATTTCTGAAAGAGTAGTACTGTTAGTGCATTAGATTATTTACCATCTCATATTCTAAACAAATGAAATTTCACCTAATGTACCAATTATTTCTTTTATTGAGTCTCATCATGTCTGTATCTCCAACATATAGATGAATGTACAGGTGTAACAATATTTATTATAATCAGATTTTACAACATTCTATCCTCCTTCTACAGTCTCAACATTTGTTACAGGCAAAACAAAACTGCCACAGAACACTGCAAAAGAATACAGAATTTAATTTTCCGCCAGACTTACAGATAAAACCTGCCTAGAATTTATATTAGTGATTTTCTGAGGAATGACGAAACTGTACAGTTTTCGTTTATTGCACAAATAGCAATCTGCTCTGTTTAACCAATGAAGCGGAGATATATCTTCACTTCCATGATTTAATCCAATAACATTAAATCTAACCTCAGCATGTTTTGGACTTTTTGATATCAATCATGCGAATCTTTCTGTTTTGTAACTAGACTGATAAACTGTAGTGATCTCTTATGATAATTGTGAACTGAAAGAAATTGATTAACATGAAAAATATGATTTTCAACGGTTTAAGGTACAGCTGGAAAATAACATTTTGGGAAAAAATTGCAATACCTGCACATGTTATTTTCTGGTACAAAATTAAGTATGAAGGCAAAACTTGGAAAAATAGAAAGCATGAAATATCAGAATTTCCCATGGAACTTTTACCAAATTTACTAAAAAGAAGACACTGTTATTATACTTTCCTAAAAAAACACTTCTATGAAATTAACACATGCCTTCATCATACTTTATTTTGTACCAGAAAATAACATGTGCAGGTATAGCAATTTTTCCCAAAATGTTATTTTCCAGCTGAACCTTAACATGAACATATTGATATTGGATTTAACCTGAAAAATATGATTTTCAAAGGTTTAACATGAACACATTGGATTTAACCTGAAAGAACTGGATCACATGAGCTAATCCTGATTCCAATCTAAAACCTTCATCAAGTACAGAAACCCTTATGATGAAAATCCTTACATTACAGGCTATATTTACAAAATATTAATAATTCCGTATAATAAAGATACACAGTGTATAATACACAGTGTTAATAATACATTATACACCTTTTGTGTAATATATTTACCAATAATTGTATATGTAAGTAATGTGCCCTGCTTATACATGTAGGCTTGCATCATTTATAAATATTGTCACATAATGTTCTGATACTGATATAACTTATATCTAATGTAACTTATTCAACATGTACTTATTGAAACCCGCTGGCAGTCTGCCCCCCCCCCCCTTGGATTAGGCCAGAAAAAAATTGGGCCCAAAAAGGCCTTAAAGCCCTAAAAAGTGGGCCTTTTTGGTCATTACTGGGCCTCTTTTTTAATTTCAGGCAAAATTTTGAAGTTTATCTCTAAGTGGAAGTTTAATTCTCTGACCTGAAATTTGGGCCCCCCTTGTTGGTTCCCAGATCTGCCCCTGAAAGCTATTCCAACAATTATATCCTGTAACATCTCATTATGATATTCTTCCTCAATTAACCCTCGTCCACCCCAGAGTGTCATTAGGTTATTACATACTACACTACTGGACAAGCTTTCACATTATAAAATATATATGTACTCTTTCAGGTAATTCTAATTTTAAACTACATTTTCTACCATAATATACACTGTTAATAATTCTGACTCTGATAATTCTGTGAGGGCAGATAATTCCACAAGGGCTGAAAATATCTGTAGATATGATTTTTCGAACTTACAATGCAACATTGCAGCTATAAATGTGTGTCCCTCGACTATTGAATTCAATGAATTATATGCTGTGACGCAAGGGCTGATAATTAACTGAGGAGCAGATAATTCCACAAAGAAGCTGATGCCTTAGATATGATTTTTCGATCTAATAATTCAACATTTTAGTTATAAATGTGTATTCCTCAACTCGTATACAATACTCTTTAACACATAGGGCTGATATTTCAGATAAAATATGTGGAAAGGTAACATATCTTAGATAGCCTTCTTGATCTTACTTGAAGATGAGGCATCCTGCTGCATAAGAATCTTAATCCAGATCTGACAGTGATCTCCCCAAGAGCATTTTTTCATCAAGTCAAGTGGCATCATGTTAAGATCTCATTTGCACATTTCCGAGCAAAGTTAAAATCGAAAACATGTCTATTTTTTATGATTTATCTATTTTTTCAAGTGAGTGCAAATGAGTGTACATGATGTTTCAAGTTTCTATTCAAAATCTCAAGTGAGTGCAGCACTCACTTGATTCAATGCTTGGGAAATCAATGAAAATGCGACAAAAAATTTTCAACAAAACTCTGATATTCTTAGATTTCTATATAATCTACACACTTTTCTATATAATTTTTTTATATGTAGTAATTGTTAGCTATGTGCCTGTTTATTAAATTCCTTGCTTTTCTATTTCAAACGTGACTTTCCTATTTCAAACATGACTTTTCTATTTCAAACGTGACTTTCATATTTCAAACATGACTTTTCTATTTCGAACGTGACTATACTACACTGAGATTTTTCAGATGGGTTGAGACTTCAAAGTCGTTAGTTCTATGATGATAAAGATTAGAGAAAATAAAAGTTATCTCAGAATTTGTTCTACTTCGTCAGTTCTTTACGATTTCATTCTTCAAAGCTCCTAATTATTGTGCATATCTAATGAAAGACCTTTCTTTAAAGGCTCTTGTTAGTATTATCTATTACATTGTACAACATTTTTAAAGGATAAGATGATCACTAATTTAATGTATGTTGATACTGTTCACTCCACATATATACTAAGCTGCTTTAAAAAAAGGAAAGACAAGACGAATAGACAATACATGAACCTGAAGTAAGGCAAAATAAAGCTTAGTGCAATACAAATCCAATATACAAGAATTTGTACCAGATTCAACATAGGCTCTATCAATGAATATTTTCCAAACATACCTATAAATAAAATGCCAAATCAGGGTATCTCAAAACACAAAACAACTGAAAACTTTTGAATAACTAATATGTTAAGTATTGCCTACACCTGCATTATATGCTAGACTAAACATAGTAAAACCACAAACTTCGAAATATATATCCCTTGCGAGAAAAAATAATGAAATAGACACTACAAGAGAGAAATAGTGCGAGTTTACTTGTAGAAGGGGAATATACTCCAAAAGTGATAAATAAATCTTCCTATCAACACATATTACATACAAAATACCAACCCACACATAACATCATAGCCCAATAATGGAAATCTCACATCATATCCAGACTCTCTTTTTACTAAAGTTTGATTTTTCTGTATCTTTCTCCTTTGCGTAAATATCAATTGTTTGATAATTTGTCAATTTTACTGTTTTTATTTTTATGTTGTATGAAAATATAAAATATATAAAATTTCGTTTGTGGGGAAAGTTGCAGTTTCAGAATTCCAAGTTAAACCATCCCTGAACCCCTGGAGCAAAATACGAGGGGTGATCCAAAAGTCTTGGACGCCACGCTCTAACTTTGCTATTTTCTAATATGATTACATGAAACTCTCAGATAATAAAGATCCACATCTTAACAATTTTGTGTATAAGTTTCAACAGAAAATATTATATTTTAACTGCTTTTCTAAATATTTTTTCATACCGGGTCCCTGCCACCCGGAACGGTATTTAAATATAGCAAATCACGTCACACCTGTTATAATATGGCAAATACTTTAGGTGCAGATGCACAACCTAACACCAGTCATGATATGAGAGAATTTGCAATTTTCAATCTGAGTGTC